AATATTCCTTTTATTAGCACAACCAAGTAGTATAACATATATTGCTAAACAGAAAACTTAAAAAGAATTAAATGTTCCATTATATCACTTTCTATTTAAAAAATTATAACTGAAAACCTGTCCTGTAAATCAGACTGAAAATCAAGTAATTTTCTCAACCTAGTTTACAATTTCAGAGATGCTCAAATGTTATTCTGTTGTCTTGCAATGACTCTTAACCTTTATAACTATTCTTCTCATTTCAGGCAAATAAAAATATTTAAACATATATTTAGGTGCACTTAAGATACTTGACCATATTTCTTACCTTCTCCCTACTTTGAACAACATGTATACTTTTCTACAGTTGATGGACACATAATCAATACAAGCTTTATTTTTAACACTAGTAATTTTAAAACAATTCTCTTTAAGGATCTGTGCCACAGTAGAAAGTAATATTAACATGCAACTTCTCAAGGAGCCCACCAATATAGGTAGATAAGGCAGATATAAGACATTATTTCAAAAAGAGGTGTGTGAGGCTGGGTGTGGTGGCTCACACCTGTAATTCCAGCAGTTTGGGAGGCCGAGGTGGGTGGATCACTTGAGGTCAGGAGTTCGAGACCAGCCTGGCCAATGTGGTAAAACCCTGTCTCTACTAAAAATACAATAATTAGCTGGGTATGGTCTCGCACACCTGCAGTCCCTGCTGCTAAGGAGGCTGAGGCAGGAGGATCACTTGAACTCAGAACGCAGAGGCTGCAGTGAGCAGATATTGGGCCACTGCATTCCAGCCTGGGCAACAGAGTTAGACCCTGTCACAAAAAAAAAAAAAAAAAAAAAAAACCGGTGTGTGAGCATTTTGCCCGAACCACCACTCATCTTGGATGTCATGACAGGAAAAGCTATTACCTTCACCTTAGTAATTTCCAGAAAAGGAAAATGAAATGATCCTACTCATCCTCTATTTTAGACTATCTTTCTGGTTCTTTTCATTCTCAAGATGCTTGCACATCCTGAGGAATCCACAAGTACCAAAGCTATAAAGAACAAATCAGGAATAAAGCTCCCTCGTATTCCAAAGGCTCACAGTACTGATTCCATGGAGCGGTGAATTTGAACCATCAAGGAAAGCAAATCTCAAGCTAGGCTTTCAGAAGCCTAAGGTTGACAAACACATAAATCTAATAAGAAATGGTCAAGTTATTCACAAGGACAGTTAGGCTGAGGGACCTTGAGTCTATGCAATCCACTTCCATTTTCCTAGACTCTATGTGCAAGGAGGGCATGAGCCATCTGTCTTAGTTTTTGATGCAATTCCAATATTATCAAAGACAAGATAAAATCATCTTCAAAGTCCTTCCCAGATACACAGTTTTATGTCTTTTTTTCTAAACATCAGCATCCACTGTTTTGTAACCAGAAAACATTACAAACTAGAAACTATTAGAAACTAGAAAGTTGTGAAAACTCACAAAGCTGTATTTTTCAATCCTGAAACTTATTTATAAAAATTCTCTTGGAGTACATTTAGCCATAAAAATGGTATCACTAAGTAGCTTAACTGCCAATCTCTCTCACAAGCAAACAGAGAAAAATCTAGCTCTTCTGAGAAATTGTTTTTCTCACTCTGATCAGGTCACTTAACCTGTCAGAGCACTAGTCTCATTTTTCGTATGTGGATGCTAATATCTCTATCATCTTAGGATTTGCAAGGCAAAATATGTAAGATGTCAAGTAATTAATATTGAGCCTAAATATTAACATTACTTAGAATTTTAAACAATAATGAAGTAGTTTTTTAATTTGTCAAAAGGAATTATGAGTTATAAAAAAGGTTAGAAAACACTGATCTAATATAGTCATAGAATAAATAATGTAAACACTAAAATTTCTACCCCCAAAATCTTATCTGAATATCATTCAAAATAACCTACCTGCTCTCTACTTTTAGAAACTCATTATATGGTTTTGAAACCATAAGATTTGGAGAAAAACAGGCTCCAAAATAAAACCTCTATCACAAGTCACCTTACATCACTGTAGTAACAGCTATTTGTTCTGGCCGACCCTCTCTCCTTCTAGGGTTCAGCAATCCTTTTAGGAGATTGCTCCTCTTTCTGCCTCTTCTAATGTCTTTCTACTCACATAGTTGAAACAGAAGATGCCATCTCTCTGGGCAGTGACTGGCCAGAAATTGGCTCCTGGTCGAAGCTTAGCCAGTCAAAGTACCCCACCACACAATCACAGAGATTAATTCAAGAATGAGCCTGTAACCGATGCCAAAGCAGTCAGAATCTTTATCTAGGATGCCTTTATTTGGAACTGATAAAAAGCTAGCATTCTAGGTAGCAAGCCCTGGCTCCTGTCACCTCCTGTCATACTTAATTTTATGGGCTAATTTGGCTAGGCCACAGTGCCCAGATATTTGG